GAAAAGGTCAAGATAAGAGAAAATGGGATTTCATCTTGGCTGGAGTTAAAAACAGTAGTATCGGTATGAAGGCTTGTTTCTTACAGTCTACCTTCTGATATGTCATGCCAAAAAAATAAGAAAAAAAGGAAGCTTACAAAATGCAATGCTTCTTGTTTTAGGAAATATCATAAAGTTGCAATGTAAAGAGTCTGTTGGTTAAAACCTGTAGAGTTTGATATTTCCTCAAAGAAATACATTTTTTAAATCATTTTTGACACTTCTTGTGTAAGATATTAGGAAAGAGAACATAAACTGTAGGAAATTAAAATATTCTTAAATTATTAATTAAGCTCATATTGGTGACAAATATTTCAAAAGTGTTTAAAAGTGTTTAAAATTATTTTGAAATGGCGCTGCCCAAGTTTTGCCAGAATAACTTGGGCAATACTAAAATCAACATGGAAAAAACTTTGCCAAATAAACTTTACGATAGTCATTCTTTGTTTGCTTCAAAAGATTGCATCCAATAAGTTCAGATCTTGACATTATCTTGACATGACATATACCTTTAGATTGCAAAGGGAAAATATCTTGCTGAGATAATGAAACTTGAACCTTAACTTTCATCATTTCAAGATATATAATAGAACCCCTTTCAACCTTCCCTAATGAGATTTTAAAAATTAAGGTTTTCTTGGGAATAAACCAACATTTTTGTTAGAAGTGTAGTTACCTCCACAATATAGTACTGTTTAGTCGAAATCATATCTTTAGATGATGAAGAAAAAAGCCGTGGGGACTCCTTAGATTAATTTTACCAAAGGAGATACATTTTCTGTTTGGAAAGTCACAGATAAACTTGGAATTGTTCATGACAAACTTCCTTTCCGTCAATGGATCAGTTTTTTTCTTTATCTATGTCCTGGTTTGCTTTGGGGATTTTTGTAATATTTGGAAGTACTCGTGATGTCATCTACTAAGGGTGGATTTCGGCCTCTTTGTTCCTTTTGTACCTCATTTTCATTTTATATAATAAAATCTCTATTTGCTGATATTAAAAAATGATGCCATCAGCTAAGGGTGGACTTGACTGGGAACGAAACACAAAAAGTTTTTGACCAGGTTTTGACAGATTTGGCTCGTTCAGCACCTCCAATTCCAGGATTTCGAAGACAAAAGGGAGGTAATACATCTATGTCATGTAAATTTTTTTTTAATCGGCAAAAATATGTGTTTGTAGTGTAATTTCACGTATGTCATGTAATTTCTTGCCTGTGTTGAGTTCTCACCTTGCTTAAGACTGTTTTTGGATCATGGATTTGGAGAGGGAAAGCAAAGATGAGGGAAATGTCTCATCAGTCCTTTCCCTTTCCAAATTCCAAGCCAAATCTGCAGTCCAAAAATAGCCTTAAGTTTCTATTTTTGGTAATCAATGTGGATGCTATATGTTTCTTTCTATTTCAATAAAGAATACAGAAAAACTGGCATTTATGACCAACTTATAAATATGACCAATGAAATCAATCCTCTTTTTCTTTTGTGTCTATGTGAGCTTGCATGCAAGGACTGAGCGATCTGAAACCCTAACTATCCTTCACTTTAGATGTTTTCAACTGTGAAATCAATAATGATGCTTCTTCAAATTACTATTACATTATTAACTATATTAGAATTATACTAGCCGTTTGGAACTTCTGAAATATTTTTCTAGCTAGTAAGAGCAAAAGACATTTATAGCTCTCACACAAGTGAGATAAATATTTTCAAATTGCTGTCCAAAAGTAACTGATATGAATTCCAGTGGTTATACCAATACCGCGTGTATTGTTGACTTACAAGTGATGTATATATACATATTAGTATGTCTTGTTTGTATTGTGACCAACCTTTAATTAATCTAACCATTTTGTTGCACTTAGTTTCTTTTATTTAGAAATAAGTGAAAACATGGAGTAGTTTTAAAGTTTATTACATCTTTACATGATAGCTACAAATTAAAGTTAATTACATCCTTACATGTGGCTCTCCACAAAGTCAATTTAGTAGACTTAACTGAGAATTATGTCTCACTCATCTTTTGCTTGGATTTTTCAATCTAATGTATATAAATTTACATGTATATTATATATATTGAGGTGTTTACAAGTCCTTGAGAGGTGATCATTTTCATACATGACAAATTACAATTAAACATGGTTTACAATACAAAATTGATGATATATATTAACAATAAGTTTCACAAGAGAATGAATTGGACTATACCTTCAGTGAAGAATGGAAATCCACGAGACATTGGGAAATAAGAAATGGTGGAGTTGTCGAATCTTTTTGGGTGTCTTTATTTGACCGATGTTGGTGATAATGGTGATTTGATACAATGGGTGATATCCTCTTTAGTCTGTTTAGTGCGAAGTTTTTTTTTTTTTTTTTTATGGCATTCTTGCTTTTAGGGAGTCTCCCTTCCCTTGGAAACCAAATGTGACCTTTTTTTGGTGTGCTTCACATGGGAAGATCCTTATTAAAAGAAGGCAAGTTCATATTAATTGGTGTTCATATGTAAGCATGACGAGTAAATTGTAAACCATCTTCTTATTCATTGCAAGGTAGCACGAGAGTTGTGTTGTTGTTCCTTGTTATGTTTGGTGTAGTGTGGGTGTTCCCTAAGGAGGTGAAGGAGCTTTTGTTTTTTGCATTGAGGAGAGCTCATGTGGATAGGAGGAGGAAGGCTTGGTTGGTATTAGGTCCTGTTGGTGTTAATGTGGATTGTTTGGGGCGAAGGAATAATTGGCAAAGAAGTTTCTATTCTGAGTTAAAGAGCAAATTGTCATCTTCTTTGTATAGCTCTGGGTTTCGAGGATGGTTAATCCATCTTTGAACTAATTTTTTAATATTGTAGAGACCTTTGAATAGGTTTTTGATGTATAGTTGTTATAGATCTTTTTTTGTATAGGGTTGCACCCCCTTGGTGTGGACTGTCTATTAATAAATTTTCATACATTAAAAAATATACAAAATAAAAAATTGTCATGTATGATTCCATAAAACTTGAGCTGGATTTTGCAGATAGTTTTTTCTCTGCAAAATCATAAGCTTAACTATATAGACTAGACATTAGATGATTTATGGTATGTCCAGTGATCACAAAAGCATGGTGTGCAGAATTGAAAGCATCTATATGCTTAGGATCATCTGTTGAATTGTTTGTCTACGTTACCATCACCAATTTTTTATCCTATTAAGGCTATGAATATGATATGCTGGTAGATATATCTCATGCCTCGCCTGTTCATTACTTTCAATTACCTGCATCTTAATTTTAAAAACTCCAGGAACTTATTAATCCAGGAATTCTAATCCTATTACGTTTTTTATATGCACGGATGCTACTCCAGGAAAAACTTCAAAGGTAAGCAACTGCCTTTACGTCTCTTTTTACTGTTGGATTTCAGTTCCTATTCAGTTATAAACTGATTGTTTGTCTGCCTCGATTCATGAATTATAACTTCTATTCCACATTCGATATTGGTTAACTGCAATTGGTTGAACTCTTAAGAAACCTTATAACCAAAAAAATCTGGCTTCTATAATTGTGAACATGGAATTGACTTCACCAATTTACATGGCATTTGGAAAACACAACTTGAGTTAATATGGAGAGTCTACAACATCTTCCATTTATTTTATTTTCAAATTTAGGTTATGTGGTCATTCCTTGATTTCCTAAAATAGAAGAAGAAAACTCTTCAACTGATAAAAAATAAGCCTTTTTCTTTTTATTATTTTTATTCTGCTGGATTACAGGGATACAGTCTGCATACATATCCAATTATGAATAACATGAGACAGATAAAATACTTTCCTCAGTTACCACAGGCTTTACTCAAATAAGACCTTTTTTTATGTATATTAGTTTTGATATAATATCATCTCTTATTAGTTAATCTATCAGGACATGATTTTCCCATACTTTCACGGATCATTCATTAAAATCTGAAGAAAAAAAAAAATTAGGTGTACTTTTCTTGACAAACCAGACATTTTTTATATGTAGGATTGCATAGTTTTTCATGTTTTACTGAATAATAGTAATTTGAATTTAACATATGATGCCTAGGATACGCAAGGTGTATATATCATACATGCATGCACTCACAGGAATATAATCTCAGTTGTCATGAATCTGAGGTAGCTGTTTCTTCATGTCATTTGGGACTGTTAAATGTATAGATGAGAAGAAGAAGAAGAAGAAAAAAAAGCTGCTGTAGATTATTAATTCAAAAACTTAGGGTTTCCCCCTTACACACAACTACTTATACTAATAAGAATAATACATAAAGGCCAAACTACCCCTAACACTTAACACTCCCCCTCAAGTTGGTGCAAAGATGTTTCTCATGCCCAACTTGCAACAAATAGAGTGAAAGATTTTACTACTAAGACCCTTAGTAAAAACATCCGCCAGTTGATCTTCAGACTTAACAAAAGGCATACATATCACACTCTTATTCAATTTCTCCTTAATGAAATGTCTGTCAATCTCAATATGCTTAGTCCGGTCATGTTGAACAGGATTGTGTGCAATACTAATAGCAGCCTTGTTGTCGCAATACAAAGTCATGGGACCACTACAATCAAGCCCTATATCACTCAACAAAGATTGAAGCCACATTAGTTCACATGTTCCATGTGCCATAGCCCTGTATTCAGCTTCAGCACTAGATCTAGAAACGACCCCCTGCTTCTTACTACGCCATGTGACTAGATTTCCCCCTACAAAAGCACAATAACCAGATGTAGAGCATCGGTCATCTATAAAGCCTGCCCAATCTGCATCTGTGAATGCTTCCAACCTCAAGTGACCATGATTAGAGAACAAAATTCCTTTTCCAGGGGCAGATTTAAGGTACCTCAAAATGCGATAGACTACATCCAAATGAGGTACACGAGGATCATGCATAAACTGACTCACTATTCCAACTGCATAGGAAATATCTGGACGAGTATGAGAGAGATATATCAGTCTTCCCACAAGTCTTTGGTACCTTTCCTTCTCCACAGGCTCACCAATTCCACTACAAAGATGATAATTAGTCTCAATTGGTGAATCAGCTGGTCTGCAGCCCAACATGCCCGTTTCTTCAAGAAGATCTAGAATGTACTTCCTTTGAGAAATAAAGATGCCTTTGTCAGATCTAGCAACTTCAATCCCAAGGAAGTATCTCAATGGACCAAGTTCTTTGATCTCAAACTCCTTGGCTAACTGCATCTTGAGATGGGTCACCTCCTCCTCATCATTACCTGTCACAACTATGTCATGTCATCCACGTATACAATAAGCACTGTTACCTTATGTATATTACGTTTGACAAACAAGGTGTGATTCGCATTGCTTTGCTGATACCCAAATCCCAGCATTGCCTTGAGGAATCTACCAAACCAGGCTCTAGGAGATTGTTTCAAACCGTACAAAGCCTTCTTTAATCTACAAACTTTTCCAACTGTAGACTGAGATGAGAATCCTGGAGGTACATCTATATATACCTCCTCCTCTAAATCCCCATGAAGAAAAGCATTCTTCACATCTACTAGTTGTAGAGACCATCCCAAATTAGCCGCACATGACAGAATAGCTCGAATGGAATTCATCTTTGCTACCGGGACAAAAGTTTCTTGATAATCTATTCCATATGTTTGGGTAAATCCCTTGGCCACTAGTCTTGCTTTGTACCGTTCAATCGTCCCATCTGCATTGTGCTTAATGGTGAACACCCACTTACATCCGACTGGGTGTTTCCCATTTGGAAGAGACACCAAATTCCATGTGTTATTTTTACTCAAAGCTTGCATCTCTTCTACCATAGCTACCTTCCACTTAGGATCATTGATGGCTTTTTTCCAACCCTGCGGAATACACACAGAAGAAAGGGATGAAACAAAAGCACGATACGTAGAAGACAACGAATCATATGACACAAATTTAGAAATAGGGTGTTGAGTACAAGCTCTAACCCCCTTTCTGAGAGCAATAGGAAGACTCAAATCATCCGTAATAGGACCATCACCAGCAGGTGAAGAAATGAGATGAGGATCATTACCTGAAGAGGTAGTGGAAACTGGGTGTGGAACTGGCATAGGAGATGATGATTGACTTGGTGGCACAAGAGAAGCCGGCTCTTTCTGACGCCGTGAATAAGTCTTAAGATCAGCTCTGTCCAAACGGCCACCGATATCCGACTCCTCATCAACAGAACTCCTAGGCTCCCCCTCACCACAAATAACAGCCCGTTGAGGAGGAAGGAAAAAAGACAACTCATGCTGATATGATGCCGTCTCATCCGCAAGCTCATCAATACCACGCTCCCCCTGAGGAGATGGCGGAGGACCAGGAAAAAAAGACTCAGATTCACGAAAGGTGACATCCATACTAACATACAACCTATGAGAGTGAGGGTCATAGCATTTGTAGCCTTTCTGAGTAGCAGAATAACCAAGAAAGACACACCGAACAGCCTTAGGATCAAGCTTCCCACGAGTCCGAGGTTGAAGATGAACAAAACAGACACTATCAAAAACCCGAGGCGGAAGAGAAGAAGTGGGATACGTCACAGGAAGAAGCTCAAGAGGAATTTGGAAGTGGAGGACACTAGAGGGCATACGGTTAATGAGATAAGCCGCGGTAAGAACCGCATCCCCCCAAAAGGACTTAGGAACGTTTATGGTAAACAAGAGAGAGCGAGCAACCTCAAGTAAATGGCCATTCTTACGTTCAGCAACTCCATTCTGTTCAGGAGTGCCAACACAACTAGTCTGATAAAGAATGTCATGGTCGTCGAGGTATGCCCGGAAAGCGCCATCAACATACTCAGTCCCATTATCACTCCTAAGAATTTTGATAGTAGCATTGAAGAGATTGGATACCATTTTATGAAAACTTTTGAAGCATGAGAAAACTTCATTTTTTGTGCGAAGTAAATAAAGCCAAGTCACACGGGAATAACAATCAATGAATGTGACAAACCATCGATAACCAGAGGTAGAAACAACAGGGGAAGGACCCCACACATCGGTATGAATAAGCATAAAAGGAAAAGTACTTCTTTTATTAATTGAAGGATAACAAGTACGTTTATGCTTAGCAAGCTCACAAGCATCACAAACAAAGTTATTCCTAGGACAATCACGAACTAATAAAGGAAAAAGTTTCTCTAAAATGCTAAAGGAAGGATGCCCCAAACGGCGATGCCACTGATGAAGGAGACGAAGGGAGGAGCCAGAAGAGCATTGCAGAGCCTGAGAGGACAAAGGTGAGGCAGGCATGGCATCCAGAAAGTACAGACCACTTTGTGCTCTACCACTGCCAATCATTTTCCCCGTAGCCAGTTCCTGAAAGACACAATGAGTCGGAAAAAAGGTTACAGAGCAATTGAGAGCAGTAGTAAGGCTACTAACAGAAAGTAAGTTAGTTGAAAAATTAGGAACATGAAGAACAGATGAAAGCGAAAGTAAAGAGGTGCAACGAACAGAACCCTTGCCGGAGATAGAAGATAAAGTGCCATCAGCCACTCTAACCTTATCTCGCCCAGAACTAGGTGAATAAGAATGGAAAAAACTAGAAGTACCCGTCATGTGATCGGTAGCACCGGAATCAATGATCCAAGGAGACGACGAAGAAACACTGAGGGCACTAGCAGAAATACCTGTGTGAGCAAAGTTAGAAGAGGCAGAAGAGGAAGGAGCTAAGGCAGATGAAGAATCAAGTCGAGCCATCAAACGTCTGAGAGTGTGAAGCTCATCCGGGGAAAGAGAACTAGCATCATTCGAGGCACTAGCAGTAGTCTCAGAAACATGTGCTTAAGGACGAACACCACCACCACGACCACGGCCTCGAGTAGGGCGGCCATGCAACTTCCAACAGTGTTCTTTATCATGTCTATCTTTCCCACAATACTCACACTTCAACCGGTCCCGATCAACCAATGGACCCTTACCACCACCTGGAGGCAGAAAAGGTGGAGTAGCACGTGACTTGGGGCCGACAACCATCGCTGACCGATCCAGAACAGGAGCATGCACCATAGCACTGCGACGACTCTCCTCTTGCTGAACCAGGGCATAAGCCTCACGCAATGTAGGAAACGGAGAGCGACCCAACACCTGAACCCGTATCTGATCATACTCCAAATTCAGACCAGCAAGAAAGTCATACACCCGCTCCTTCTCCACAGCCTGCTGAAACATAGTGGCATCCTTGGAGCAAACTGGCTGGAAACTCTGGTAGAAATCTAGCTCTTGCCACAAACCACTCAACTCAGCATAGTAGACTGCCAGAGAGCGATCCTTCTGATCCAAACCCCTAATCGTCTTACGCAATTCATAGGCCTGTGCATCATTCCCTTGTTGAGAATACATTTGAGAGGCAGCTATCCAGATCTTGTGAGCAGTATCCATCAAGAGAAAAGTCCGACTAATGGTAGGCTCCATAGAATTGATGAGCCAAGTTATAACTAAAGCATTCTCAGAAATCCATTGAGCAGATAAAGTACTATCCTCAGTAGGTGGCTGGGAACTACTACCAGTAATATAGCCAGTCAAACGCCGGGCGGCAATCGCAAGACTACAGGAGCGGGACCAAATCAAGTAATTAAGACCATTAAGTTTGACCGGACTAATCTGGAGAGAAGGACTATCACCAAGAGTCAGACCACGACTCAGTCCACTCTCCTCCTTGCCCTTAGAGTCCTGACCCAAGCTGTCAGCCATGAGATGAGAAAAGAGGGTGCAAAAAACACAAGCCGGATATCAAACAAGTTCACAAATCACCCAACCAGCACACCAAACACCTTTTAAGGCTAAAACAGTCCAAAAGAAGCCCAGAACAGAGCAACCAGATCAACTACAAGTCAGAAAACCGAAGCAGAGCATCTAAACAGCGATAAAAATCCAAGATAGGGCCAAAATACATCAAACCAGGGACAACAAACCCCCTTAGGGTTCCAGTCGGCTCCCAAGGATAGGAGAAGAAGGGACAAAACCAGAAAAAAGAGGGTCAAACAGTGATTTTCGAAAAATCACCCAATTTTGACGAAAAATCAAAAAAATTAGAAAATTCAATCAATAATGACCAAACAATCAAAATGAGATTATAGGGCTAATTTGAGATGGTCTCTACAACAACTAGATGTGAAGAATGCTTTTCTTCATGGGGATTTGGAGGAGGAGGTATATATGGATGTACCTCCAGGATTCTCATCTCAGTCTACAGTTGGAAAGGTTTGTAGATTAAAGAAGGCTTTGTACGGTTTGAAACAATCTCCTAGAGCCTGGTTTGGTAGATTCCTCAAGGCAATGTACCATCTCACCTACTCCACTAAACCTAACCCACTACACCACTACCATCTCACCTACTCCACTAAACCTAACCCACTACACCACTACCATCTCACCTACTCCACTAAACCTAACCCACTACACCACTACCATCTCACCTACTCCACTAAACCTAACCCACTACACCACTACCATCTCACCTACTCCACTAAACCTAACCCACTACACCACTACCATCTCACCTACTCCACTAAACCTAACCCACTACACCACTACCATCTCACCTACTCCACTAAACCTAACCCACTACACCACTACCATCTCACCTACTCCACTAAACCTAACCCACTACACCACTACCATCTCACCTACTCCACTAAACCTAACCCACTACACCACTACCATCTCACCTACTCCACTAAACCTAACCCACTACACCACTACCATCTCACCTACTCCACTAAACCTAACCCACTACACCACTACCATCTCACCTACTCCACTAAACCTAACCCACTACACCACTACCATCTCACCTACTCCACTAAACCTAACCCACTACACCACTACCATCTCACCTACTCCACTAAACCTAACCCACTACACCACTACCATCTCACCTACTCCACTAAACCTAACCCACTACACCACTACCATCTCACCTACTCCACTAAACCTAACCCACTACACCACTACCATCTCACCTACTCCACTAAACCTAACCCACTACACCACTACCATCTCACCTACTCCACTAAACCTAACCCACTACACCACTACCATCTCACCTACTCCACTAAACCTAACCCACTACACCACTACCATCTCACCTACTCCACTAAACCTAACCCACTACACCACTACCATCTCACCTACTCCACTAAACCTAACCCACTACACCACTACCATCTCACCTACTCCACTAAACCTAACCCACTACACCACTACCATCTCACCTACTCCACTAAACCTAACCCACTACACCACTACCATCTCACCTACTCCACTAAACCTAACCCACTACACCACTACCACCTCCACTTCACCTACTCCTTACCTACTACACACTCACCCTCTTCTATATATAGGAATCATGAATCATTGTAATAAATCAATAAATATCAATCAATAATACATAAATTTCTACAAAGGAGACAAAGGGAGGAGCCAGAAGTGCATTGCAGAGCCTGAGAGGACAAAGGTGAGGCAGGCATGGCATCCAGAAAGTACAGACCACTTTGTGCTCTACCACTACCAATCATTTTCCCTGTAGCCAGTTCCTAAAAGACACAATGAGTCGGAAAAAAGGTTACAGAGCAATTGAGAGCAGTAGTAAGGCTACTAACAGAAAGTAAGTTAGTTGAAAAATTAGGAACATGAAGAACAGATGAAAGCGAAAGTAAAGAGGTGCAACGAACAGAACCCTTGCCGGAGATAGAAGATAAAGTGCCATCAGCCACTCTAACCTTATCTTGCCCAGAACTAGGTGAATAAGAATGGAAAAAACTAGAAGTACCCGTCATGTGATCGGTAGCACCGGAATCAATGATCTAAGGAGACGGCGAAGAAGCACTGAGGGCACTAGCAGAAATACCTGTGTGAGCAAAGTTGGAAGAGGCAGAAGAGGAAGGAGCTAAGGCAGATGAAGAATCAAGTCGAGCCATCAAACGTCTGAGAGTGTGAAGCTCATTCGGGGAAATAGAACTAGCATCATTCGAGGCACTAACAGTAGTCTCAGAAACATGTGCTTGAGGACGAACACCACCACCACCACCACGGCCTCGAGTAGGGCGGCCATGCAACTTCCAACAGTGTTTTTTATCATGTCTATCTTTCCCACAATACTCACACTTCAACCGGTCCCGATCAACCAATGGACCCTTACCACCACCTGGAGGCAGAAAAGGTGGAGTATCACGTGACTTGGGGCCGACAACCATCGCTGACCGATCCAGAACAGGAGCATGCACCATAGCACTGCGACGACTCTCCTCTTGCTGAACCAGGGCATAAGCCTCACGCAATGTAGGAAACGGAGAGCGACCCAACACCTGAACCCGTATCTGATCATACTCCAAATTCAGACCAGCAAGAAAGTCATACACCCGCTCCTTCTCCACAGCCTGCTGAAACATAGTGGCATCCTTGGAGCAAACTGGCTGGAAACTCTGGTAGAAATCTAGCTCTTGCCACAAACCACTCAACTCAGCATAGTAGACTGCCAGAGAGCGATCCTTCTGATCCAAACCCCTAATCGTCTTACGCAATTCATAGGCCTGTGCATCATTCCCTTGTTGAGAATACATTTGAGAGGCAGCTATCCAGATCTTGTGAGCAGTATCCATCAAGAGAAAAGTCCGACTAATGGTAGGCTCCATAGAATTGATGAGCCAGGTCATAACTAAAGCATTCTCAGAAATCCATTGAGCAGATAAAGTACTATCCTCAGTAGGTGGCTGGGAACTACTACCAGTAATATAGCCAGTCAAACGCCGGGCGGCAATCGCAAGACTACAGGAGCGGGACCAAATCAAGTAATTAAGACCATTAAGTTTGACCGGACTAATCTGGAGAGAAGGACTATCACCAAGAGTCAGACCACGACTCAGTCCACTCTCCTCCTTGCCCTTAGAGTCCTGACCCAAGCTGTCAGCCATGAGATGAGAAAAGAGGGTGCAAAAAACACAAGCCGGATATCAAACAAGTTCACAAATCACCCAACCAGCACACCAAACACCTTTTAAGGCTAAAACAGTCCAAAAGAAGCCCAGAACAGAGCAACCAGATCAACTACAAGTCAGAAAACCGAAGCAGAGCATCTAAACAGCGATAAAAATCCAAGATAGGGCCAAAATACATCAAACCAGGGACAACAAACCCCCTTAGGGTTCCAGTCGGCTCCCAAGGATAGGAGAAGAAGGGACAAAACCAGAAAAAAGAGGGTCAAACAGTGATTTTCGAAAAATCACCCAATTTTGACGAAAAATCAAAAAAATTAGAAAATTCAATCAATAATGACCAAACAATCAAAATGAGATTATAGGGTGATTACCCATTAAATTTCGAGCATACTGTAACGAGCATACTGAAAAAAAAAAAAAAAAAAAATTTATTTTTTTTTATTTTTTTGTGACTATAACAGACGTACCAGGAACAATATGGGGCTCTAAGGAACAATCTTCAAGAAGGAAGATAGTGCTCTGATACCATGTTAAATGTATAGATGAGAAGAAGAAGAAGAAGAAGAAGGAATAGAACAAGAGAAAGCTGCTGTAGATTATTAATTCAAAACTTAGGGTTTCCCCCTTACACACAACTACTTATACTAATAAGAATAATACATAAAGGCCAAACTACCCCTAGCACTTAACAGGGACACTGCAATTCCTTTAGGTACTGTATTTGCATGATAGATTTCAAGTTTTGAAAATACAAATCAACTGGGAAGCATCAAGACAAGAACATATTACTTAACTTTCGTATCTTTTGTCAAGTGAAATACTGCTAATAATTATGAGCAAACCTGTATTATTTCTTGAAGATGGCTGGTCTGGAAATCTCTGCAGGTTCCAAAGAGCTTTTTGTTACAGGTCCTTGGCGAAGAGCGCGTCACAAAATTTGTCATACAAGAAATAGTTAGTTCGACTATGGCTGATTATGTGAAGAAGGCAAGTCATTATTGTTACTTTATTTATTTATTTTAGGGTAAATTACACTAACCTCCCATGAAGTTTGGAGAAAATACAGTACACTCCACAAATTTGGCATAATTACGGTGGACTCCCTTAAAGTTATAATTCAAATAGCACTTAGTCCTATTTTTATTAGTAATTCATTAGTCATATGGATGGAAAAATAATCTCAAGGGGTTAGCTTGATGGTTAAGGTTTGGGGCCTGGGGTGTGCTCCCTCTAAGGTTTCAAGTTCAAAACTTCTTAGATGCAAACAAAGTAAATATGGAGTTTTGCCATGCCTTTAATTGGGTCCCACGCTAGTGGACAGGAGGATTGGTCCCTTGGATTAGTCAATCCAGTGGATTGGATACCGAATTATCCACGCCAAAAAAAAAAAAGGATGGAAAATGATGATGCCATCTTTTTACACTGAAGCTTATATTTGATCTGCATCTTTATATCATTTGCATTAGTTATGAACCCTTTAGCGTTATTAAAGTGAAGATTTGTGTAGTTATGCCAAAACTATGGAGTTTGTTGTTTTTTCTCAAAACCTCCAAGGAGGTCAGTGTAATCTACACCTTATTTTGTTATTATTATTAACAACCGGGAGGAGAGGAATAGAGGAGAAACTATTTCACACAGCAATAGAACTCGAACCCAAGTATCACGCCTAATAAGGGAATGCTTCATCCACTAAACCAACTCCTTGGTATTTACTTAAACAGCTCGACTAACCTTCTAAGTTGCACCATTCACCAGGAAAACCTGAATGTGAAGGACAAAAAGATTAACACAGTCCAAACAGCCGAAGAACTCAAATTGTTGTTTGCTCCTGGAAATGAATTTGGATTCAATGCCACATTGGAGATTGAAAATTTTGAATCTGAAACTACCAGTTCATGATCATCTGAAATGTAAAGAAATCATATTCTTCTACAGGAGCTTTGTTGTTGTTATATCTTTATTTTCATTTTTTTGGTAATATTGGCAATCAATTTTCCAGTGTAAAAAATGAGGATTGAGTATGTCGTAACATTATATATTACTTTTTTTACCCTCAAATTAATACCTTTTTTATATTGAATTTAATTGAAACATGTTCCTATAAGAAATTAATTTTTAAATTTGTGAAAAATAGATAAATTGATATTCACAGATCACTGGCCTTATAAATCTGCATGTCTTCGATATTTGTGCAACATACACACCTTTGCACTAAGGCCCTATTTGGGAACTTGGTTATTTTAGTTATTATTTTGGCTATTTTAACTTGGCTAAAAAAGTTGTATCTTGGAAGATAATTGTCATTTTTTTTATAGTTGATTTGATGGTTGTGAGAGAAAAAATAAAATAATTATGATTTAGATGTAACATTTTGTTTTATTAGCTATTTTAGAGAATTCTACTTACACAACGCATTTACCTCTTTACACTCGAGATCATTTATTTCCACACACTAAATCTCCTCAATCCACATACTTAACGAATTTTTTTTTATATTACATTTTTATCCTAAAATAAAAATAATAAAATATCCTCATCTTTCAACCAAAACCCTAATTCTCAGACCAAAACATAGTCGTGTTATCCGCCGTCATTAGCCTCCACCTCCGGTGAACTTTCCCCACAGCCATTGTCGCCACAACTTTTCCCATCTCCCATTTTCACTGCAACCACCATCATCTCGTTACCAATTTTTAGCCTTTATTGCTTTACCTTGCCACTGCTACCTCATCACCCCTTTTCAACTCCAACAACTCTCCCTGCCACCGCCACAGCCTCAACCCATCCGCTTTCTCTCTCTCTTGGAATTATAGAGTTGCAGGATGGTGGAGTATGGGGTTACAAGGTTGTGAAGGAATGGTGTGGAATAGTGATGGGTTGGAATGGTCAGGGGTGGGAAGTGAGAGTAAGGGCTAAGGAGGGGATGTATTGGAATTGTATGGGATGGGATGGGCTGGTAATGGCGATTGATGATGGTGGAGGGATGATAGTGGCGATGATGTCGTAATTTTTTTTGGTAGAGGAAGCGGTGGTTGGCCGGCGATAAATGAAGAATGGTGAATTAGAGTTTGAAGAAGAAAGGAGATGAGGGCATTTTTGGTATGATAAGATGTGTATTGAGTAAAAAATGATATTTCAAATTCAATAAGTGTGAGAAATTCTATTTCCACACGCCTAAATAACTGAGGGAACACACTTAATGAATTTTTAATTTAATAACAATTATATCCTAAACCTTAATGACCATAATAGATATCTAGCAACACTTATAATATTATATGTAAAAATTTTCTATACACATCTTTTAAGAACAAAAAGATCTCAATATACACCTTTTGAATTAAAAAAAATAAAGCCTAGTTTTTTTTCTATTGTTGTCTGGGTGAGAGTAGTTTTCCTAGAGATGATTTGATTCCCTCTATCATCCAATGCAACGCCTGCTTTTTTAGAATGCTGTTGATTCCATGCTACATCTATAACAAATCTATCAAAGAATGGATTTGGGAAGCATTGTGCACTGTTATGTTAGTAATAAAAATAGAATTCAAACCATTATAAACTGCCGTATTAATATGTGGTGACCACAATTTGAAAACCTATTTACTGCAATCCCAATTCATGTGGGTAATTGTGAAGTGGAGGTGACTTCGATTTTAATTCGAAGAACCAGTGTTGAATTTATGTATTAAATTCGGATATCAACTGCCAAAATATATTTACTTGCTTCATTCGGAATTTAACTATCGAATATTATAACTATTTTCGGCTCTATTCAGTCGATCTATAACAATTTATTCGATTGTTGATTTTTCAAATTTGGTGCACAAATTCGGCAAACCAATGCCGACATCCCCAAACCGTGAACAACATGGAAAAATCAAGGATTTTATGGCAATGGAGTGTACAAAGATCTAAAAATGATAAAATATAATAACAAAATGATAAATATAAAAATAAAATGGAAAGATTCTTTACCTTCAATACTATTTTAGAGATTTTCAATGGAAGTTTTCCATGATTGGCTTCAATAGATTCACTTCAAACATTGGAAGTTTTCACTTCAATGGAGGTCTTCAAGTTCATGGGTAGCTCAAGAATGTGGTCTTCAGACTAGTGTTCAAGCTTCACATGGGTGGAAGTTTTTTTGGTCTTCAAGTTTTCAAAAAGTGTGTGAAAAGGAGGGGTAAGTGTGTGTACAATAATATTTAAGTAAAGGATATAATTGTAATTTTTAGTGTGTGGATTGAGAAAAACAATCAATAAATAAATTAACAGGTGTGTGTATTGAGAAAAGATTTGCTCTGAGTTATTTTGGTGTGTAGAAATAGAATTTCCCTAAGTGTGTGTCTTGAAAAATGATGTGCACAGAGAAGATTTGGTGTGACACCCTTCATTTGAGGTTTTTTTTTTTTTCTCTTAATTTTATCCATATATGAAATTACCTTTAAGGACAAAAGATAAAAACTGAATAGATTTAGTTATTTCTTTACACCCAATACCCTTCAATCCCTACTTTTTTTCTTCCTTTCTCATTTATTTTGCTCTGCTATATATCTACTTTCAAAAAGTGAGAATCATAGTGTTTTGATCATAAAAGAAAGTAATGGACGAATAAATTGTGATGAAGGATCAACAAAAATTTGAAATGGTGAGGTTTTTTTTTTTTTTTTTTTCCTTTGTTTTTGATGTTTTCATTTCATTTTTGAAGAGAGTTGTTTGACTTTTGTTCGGTATACTAGAATCGAACAAAATCAAATAACCCGGAATCACATTGTTGAACAAAAAATACATATCTAGTAACCCATTGTCGAACAAAAAATACTTGTTCAGTAACCTATTGTCAAACAAAAAGTACATGTCCGATAACTCACTGCTTAATATTTCCAATTTCATTTTTTTGACCTTTTTGTTTTTGTTTTTGTTTTTGTTTTTGTTTTTTTATTCTTTTTTTATTTTTTTCCTTTGAAGGATTATACTTTTATTCATTGTAGTAAGGCTAGTAGTGCATTATTAATGGACTATAGACATGAATTCATTACAGACAAAATTTGTTAAATTTATCTTCTTCCTAGTCATCTAATATCTCCGAAAGCAAGTTATTGAATTCTTTTTCATTACCCATATGCATTGGGAGAAAGCACATACTATCCGTATTGATTAATTTCGTACGTTTGTCAGCCCTAATGTAGTAACTATTGAAACTATCAACATAGATAGATTGTGATAACATCTCAGTGTGTTTTTCTATATGTTTGTATTGATAAATTTGAAGATATTTGTATTAACAAATTTTATGAATTTTTTATAGATGTTTGTACACTTCATGTTTTATGGATGCTTGATGTTTTAAGAAAAGTGAATCTGCAAACGTATGGTAACAGATGACTGGACAAATCTAATTTGTTCCGTAACATGACACCAAAATAATTCAAATTGTTAGGAAATGTATAACCGAACAGGCCTATCATAAATTTAGAGGAAAAAATGATGTTTTGAGGAAAGTGAATCTGTAAACGCATGGCAACAAATGACTGAACAAATATAATTTGTTCGGTAATATAACACTGGAGTAATTCAAAAGGAATAGGTGTAATGAGAAAAATCTGTAGGAGTTTTGAAAAGGGTTTAATTTAGGGTTAATTTTGATATTATAAAGGGTGTAATAAAAATTTCAATTATTTCTTAAAACTATAATGAGAAAATAGGTGTAAAGAGATAAAATTGTGGTGTAAATAGAATTTCTCATATTTTAACTATTTTATCTTTATTAGCTATTATAGCCTCCAACCCTCTTCCCAAACAGGGCCTAAAGAGTATATGGCCAGATTTTGTTGTGTATAATTTATTAATTTGTTTTTAAAAATACTATAAATGATTTACAGAACACCAATGAAATTATTATTCATGCAAGGAAAAAAAAAATTATTATGTTTGGTTTTTAGTTTTCAAAAATAGTTTTCTGAATTTTCAATTCGTATTTTTATATTTTTTAATAATTTTTTTAAATATTTAATCCTTTTTTTTAAAATTCATTTAATCTTAATATACTTAAAAAGTACAAAATTTGTACAATTTTTTTTTTTTTAAATTCATTGAATACAACAAATCCCTCTCCAACTTTTAGTAATGGAAGAAGTCCACAATATTTCTTTTTGTAGTCTAAAGTCCCTCAGCATCAAAATCAAAAACAGGCACGTTTGAGCGATTAACGATTCGAACAAACCTCTTTCTCGATGAGCTTGTGGAATTAGAGCAATAATGATGAGTAATTCATTATCAGCATGTTGATCGTTTTCTTTGTTGTCGTCGCAAGTAGCGATGACACTGAGTGGTTCGTTGAAGAGGATGTTGAGCAGGAATATATCTGAGCATAAAATTCATTCATCAATGTCGTCCATTGTTGATGAATCAGACGAGGGGGAGAGAGAGAGAGATGAGAAAGAAATCATCAGTTTCCATCATTTTTTCAAGATCAGATATATGTATAGTTCCACCGTAGCATAGTAATCATATTTGTTTTGAATGTTGTCACTCACCACCGAATTCTCTGTAGCCAAATGTTTAATTTTTGTGCTTCAAATGGTGTTGTTAGTGCCACTGTATCAAAAGTTCTGGTTCAATGTATCAAATACATTTTGTGCACTACTTTTTAATTAAATTATAGACATGCAAATCAGAGAAAATTTGTAAAGAAACTCAAAGAAATTCTTTGTGAACAAAGTCAGAGAAATTTCAATTTTCTCTGAATTTTTCTGGTTTGAACTCAAAGAAATTTGAATTTTCTCTGAATAATTTTCTCTACCTTGTTTAATTTTCTCTGTGTTGTTCAATTTTCTCTGGTTTGAACTCAGAGAAATTTGGATTTTCTCTGATTTGAATCCAGGAAATTTTTTTGGAAAGTTCAAAATTTCTTTGGAGAAAATCTTTGAGAAGAATTTCTGTGGACTGAAATTTCTCTGGATCAATGTTGAGGGACCTTAGACATTATGAAAATATTAAATGTCCTTTATGCTATAAAATTTTAATACCAGGGGCCTTAAAAAAAAATCCCCTACAACAAAATATGAAAATGTATTGAATTATATAATTTTTTTTTTTTTTTTGTATTCAGAGAATTTTTTTTTTTAAAAAAAAGTCACAAATATTATACTTTTTAAGCGTATTTAGATTAGGCGTATCTAAAAAATAAAATAAAATAATTGTGTAAAATATGAACAAAAATTCACTAAAAACAAAAAAAAATACGGAAAACAAGAAACTCAATTTTCTAAAACCAAACATGGTTAGTGGTTTTAAATTGTTTTCTTTTCTTTTTTATTGTCCAAAATGTCATTTGCCTTTTGGTTTGGTAAAAAATTATTTTAGTAACTTTTTGACTTTTTAACTAAAATATAAGGTAAACAAAATTGGTATGTTTGAGATAACTTTTTAGATTTTTATAATAAAAAAAAAAGTACAAAAGATAGAGAGAAAAAGAAATTTTTTACTTTTTATAAAATTTGTTAGCTTTTTAATTTTTTTAGTTACTTTTTGACTTTTAAAGAGTTAGTTAAAGAGCATCTCTAATGGTTGGATAGATAGAGAGTTAGTTATTGCTATAATTTAGCAATAAATAGTGTTAAAATATTTAATTTTAGCAATTTTGCTAGAATGATACAATGTAAAAAAATTTAACTTTTCACACAAAATGTCAAATCAAAATGTTATATGTGGATCCCTAGACAAAGATTTTAGCTATAGATAAAACTTGGAGTTTTTTTTTTAATATTCTAAAAAAAAAATTTAGAGAATTGACCCACTTTTCAAATTATTTGGGAAACTAACTTGCTTTTTGAAATTGAAATTGCATTTTCAACATGCAAATTCATCTTGAAATCACATGTTGAAAATGCAATATGCGATTTCAAATAGTGAAGTCCATGTCATCATAAATTACATTTCTAAAATGTAATTTTAAAAAGCAGGTTAGTTTCCCAAATAGTTTGAAAAGTGGGTCAATTCTATAAATTATTTTTTTTTAGAATATTTAAAAAAATAAAAAAAATGAAAAAAAACTCATAAAACTTGTGCTATATTTGACACAATTTTTACGTATTGGTAATATATAGAAAGTCATATGCCTTACCATTGGAGTGAAAATTTGGAAGCTTCACAATAAAATATAGTAATAGCAAGCCATATAGCACACCATTGAAGATGCTCTAAGCTACAATTGAAAGTTGCCAAATGAGGTACACAATAAGTTTCATTTTCACTTTACTAATTTTGCTTGCATTTATGAAATCATGTCTATCCTCCCGGGGGAATAGCTTCCCTCAAGACACTATCATTTCCATACCTATTGAGGCTTTATTTCGTGAGCCCTACAAGGCCCACGATAGTAATTTGAACCGTTAATCTCATAGTTCTTGAAAGAACATATATGAAATCAATAGACAAATTAACTAATCATGTTTTTGTAAATATGATTTTAAATTAAAACTGTCCACTTTATAAAATAAAATACAATAAGTCAGTATATCTATAGATGTCTGATCAATTTTTTTTTATTTTTTTGTTTTGCTTATATATTTTTCTCTTTAAGACTTACGAAATAAATGGTTCGAATCTTGAGGGGTATGAAGATGTTGGAATCTTTAGGAGAACTACTCCACATTGGGGAAAGTATTGTACTTTTCTTTCTTTTTTGAAACTATAATATCTCCATTATTATTGTCGAGGTAAGATCAACTTACTACCTATCCTTCATTAACTTTGTCATATTTGCATTTCTTGAAACCACCCATTGAAATGGATGCTTCTATCTCAACAATACATGCCAAATTTCAAGACGATTGTAAGTTAGATTAGAAACTCACACATCCATAGGCTAATATTCTTTTTGGTATAATATAACTAAAATTTTGAAAGATGTGAAAATAAGAGATGTTTTGATCTTTGATCAATCTACAATTCTTGTAACACCTAAGTATCATAACATGGCATATACATATTTTCATTTCATAATTGAGTTCTGAAAGTGAGTAACATTGTCTTGTGAAATGTTTGGAGACATGCTTTGATGAATCTTTGAAACATGGTTTAGAAATGTTGGTCTTCGAATAGAGTACACCTATATGCTTTGTGAAAAGACTAGTTTTCAATTGATATAAATGCTTTATGCTTCAACCCTAAGGCCATGTTTGTTTGGGCGGACTGCATTAACATTCCCATGACTAATAGTCCTAGGACTACGAATCCGTTGGATTATGTATTCTATCTTAACTAATAGTCAAGTTTAAAATAATTAGTCCGTACTTCAATTGTTTAACCAAATATCGGATTAATAATTTTATTGGACTATTAGTCTAATCCCAAGCTCATGTCCACCCAAACAAACATGGCCTAAGTGTTTTGTTCAGTTATGGCATTTTATAAGAATAACGATATTCATTCTTACTATAACTTTGATTCAATGTTATTCATTGACTTTTGACTCACTCTTCTTTATATATGTAGAAAATGATGATGAGACCTTATGACCAAAGATTTCAAGCAATGAATACATATACAGACATGGTGACTTGCGTGCTCAATTCTTGGTTGAAAGGACACAGTTTGAAGTCAATGTACACAAATTGCTTGGAAATGAACAAGATGTTCACAATTATGTTAAATATTGTACTCGTTGTAACAAGAAATAGTGAGGTGTTCCAATTTATTTATTTGCACATTTGCGCTGAATGAATATTTATGGAATAACCAAGTTAAAAGAATTGAATGTTTTCGCTACATAAACAAATTATACTCCAAATATTACTGTAGTATCAATTTGTTTTAGTTCGACCTAAGTAGCCTAAAAATTATTGGCCGGTCAATTACTCTGTTCAGGTAAAAAAAAAGCTCGTGACAATTCCATTAGCATATAGCATTTTTTAGTATACAAGGAAAATGTAATCAACCAGACAAATTTGTGAAAAATGAATCTACCTAGGGGGTGTAAAATTAAGAAGACTTGCACAAGTTGTAAATGGATCATGCCCCCATTACTATAGTTTCATTATAAAATGATAACACAAACAATGCCAAAAACTGTCTTTTGAGAACATTAAAACAAACCTGAGCCCTTGAAAAAAATGGACCAATAGAAAACTACTAGGATGGAATTGCCAGCTTTGCACCTACACTCATTGAATTAAGTAAGGTCTAACCATCATTTCCTACATATATAAAGAAGAGGGGTGAGTCAAAAGTAAACTATAAACAGTTAGTGCACTTGATTGTCATATGAATCATCTCATCTCATCTCATCTTTCTCAAGCTTCTTCCACAAATAAAAAACTCTTCTGATGATTGAATCAGCTGAAAATCCTTCTGCATAAGCACTGATTGCCGTCAAGAGGCTTGTGAATTTATCCCCATTGTCCTGTATCCACACGATCAAATCAAATCCAAGCTTAGAATACCATCTTCAGTTCTCTACTACAGACAACAAGCATTTCATAAATGAGCTTAAGAACAATATTCTACTCATACACCAAATGCAAGGATTACTTTGGGTCGCATTAGGTTAACTGCAAATGTTAAGGGGCATGTTTCACAATATATACAAGATGTCTTGATTATAAATACAAACAAAAATTCATGTCTACATAAGCCCACATACAAGAGATAGTGGAAGAAATAAGTGATGCAAGTTACATAGTTAACGGCGTTTGGACAAATTAGTCATGATGGTTCAGCAAACAACATTCCTGCAGGGCCACGTTAATCCTCAAACTAATGATATCAAGATATGTTATTATTGCTTGAATCCGACATGCTTAGAGATCAAGTAATAGTTCAGCCACCAAGCAAAAAGTAAAAAAGAAAAAGTCATAGTTCGGAGACAAGTAAATAACTGATAGTGGTCACTGTTCACTTTAGAATGTTGCTATCTTTTTCATAACAAAAACAAGAAGTAGGTGAAATAACCTCCTGGATACATTTCCTATTAAGAAGACAATCTTCTTCCATAGCAATGATCAACTGTTTATTCAATGAAATATATTATGTTGCTTATGAGCTCAACAATCACAATCCTCCTTAAAAGACATAAATCCAACAAATAAAAGAAAGCACAAAAAGAGATTAAAGACACGCAAACTATAAAAGAAAGCTCAATGGCAGATGCAGTTACGCATGCATACAAGCAATACAAGCAAAGGTTTTGATGTGGGACATGTTATACAATAGTTGATATATAAGGACATGATCACACTGTCTAATTGGAAAGACATACTTCATAGCAAGAGATGTGGAACCAAATCCTGCCAACCATAAAGTTGTTTAAAATCATAATATAATCTCTTGACATTCAAAAAAATGGACCTAAATAAACCTAAATAGAGTATAATTAGAAGAAAGAGTAAGTGGAAACATTGTATTTTAAAACCAAAAAAAATTAAAACGTGTATGCTTATTATTAAAAAAATAATAATAAAAAAAATAAAAAAAACTGTTGTGGCATTGTCAAGTCATGTTAAATCATATTTAATTCTTGGTGTAAGTTACTTTAACCTTAAACATTCTTACAAGATGCATACTAATATTTTGTACGAAAAAACTGAGAAACAAAAGTTAAGAACCTGTTGGATCTGATTTGATCCTATTAGACCCTATGATCACTAAAATAACAAAAAATTATACCTAGGTATTGGTTATTTTCGTACTAAACACTTAGAAATTTTATTATGGCATTTTCACCACACACACACACACACACACCAAAAAAAAGGGTAAAGAGAGGTCAGAATCTATCAGATCGAATAGTTCAAGAATCCCATGAATCATATAACCTAAATCTAAACATGAAAGAAATGTGTGATTGACCATCAATTTTATCCCAAAATAGATTCACTAATAGATTCACATTGATCTACACATGAATCATGAATCGAATTGTGAATCGTAAGATTTTAATAATAGAGTTCAATGTACTGGGTGGAGCAGAAAACCTGCAGATGACTTCCCCCTCCTTGTTACCCATAACCATACTTGTGAATTAACAAACCCATAAACCCAAAAGGGAATTCATTTCATCCCTTTCTAAAAGTGTACTTTCTTCATAACACCAATATATTTCATGTGTGAAGATGATGAAACCTTCACACATCCTATATCTTATGGCATGCAGATAACTAGCTCCAAAGTCCAGCACATGTGTGCCCAAGGTTAACGACACAAAGGACAATGATTCTAAGCAAGGACCTAAATAGACCCCGATTTGGGTTCCATGGCATGGCTCTAGCTAAATTAAATAGCCAGCAAGGCTGTAGTTGCAATAGTGATAAATAATGCTTGACAGACAGATTGAATATACTATATAAAACTTCATGTGGGTTGTTTTCATCATTATTAGGGGAAAAGAGGTCTTCTGAATACGCTATGTACAAACCTCTGGTTTCTTAAATCTCAGATCATTGGTTGAAAATGGAACCATGTAAAATGGAAGATCTGAACGTAGCAGTGCCTGCAATAAGGTGAAACAATTATAAGCATAAGAGACCATGGAAAAGGGTGTCCAAGCATGTTATTACTAGATAGAAATGAAATGTCAATTACCAACCAGTTTGAAAAAAACAAGAGATCTGCAACACTGACTCATACAGAATATAATAAAACTAAGCAAGCATAATTTCCACATTTATCCAATGAGGACGGCCACAGGGCCTTTTTTACTGATGTCATTTGCTAGAAGATGCATGTGAAACTTTGTAGTGTATAAAAAATTAAAGTAAAATACACATTTTTAGTGGGTTAAAGCAATTATGAATAATACCAGGCTGACAGAAGATTCTTTACATGTTTGTTATTTGTCAAGTAATCATTTAACTTCAAGAAACATCACCTAAAAGACATCGATATGAAGCTCAATAAACCCTGGATGAGGAGAGATGGTCACAAAAGAGAATCAAAATCTCATTATGGGAAAGAAAATGGAGGAACCAGTTTAGAAAGTGCAAACACTATCCTCGTCCTCCCCATGGCATGTGTTACAACAAATGTATCCAATCATAGAAAAGGATCACTGGGTGAGTTCCAGAATTACATCGACTAGAGTAAAGACAATCATGTCTCGATAAAATTAATAAGCAACCACCACGATGGTTCCCTTGGTGTGACAAACCAATCATTCTTGCGTGATACATATATCATACACCTTGCATTCATGTCTTGTACATGCTTTATGTGAATTAAGGCTTGCTAGGAACCAGAGAAGAAGAGATTAGGTTTGAAAACCTTGAGTGTAAAGTTTATGAGTTTTGTGCTTTGAGTTAGGGGATACTTTAAGTTAGAATTTGACAATGCTACGAAACTCCTATACACTAATTGAGGAGGTTAAAGATCTTAGACTAATGTGATCGTCCACTTCATGCTAAATGTTATTTTGCTAATCAGAATTAGCGGTAATTAAATATGATTAGTGAGTCTTAATAAGGATTAATTAAGTTAAGCATGATTAAGTTAAACCTAGATTAATTAGTGCAAACCTTGGTTAACCAAGCTAAGTAAGCAAGATTAGACAATTAATTGAAGCATAAACAAAGGTGATACATACACCTCTCCTTTTTGTCTCAAATTAGTTTTTGTCCCATCTTCACTTCAATAAAACCAAAGAGAGAAAAATTCTGCAGGAGAAACAAAAGCTAGAAGAAACAAGAAGAAAGGAGAAAAAGAGAGAAAGCAGAAAGAAAAGGAAACCCTAAGCAAAACTTAGCTCAACTCCATTCTAGAAAGTGTTCTAAGGTACGATTTTCATTCCTTCTCTTGTAGTAAACCCTCCTAGCATCTAAGATTGACAAAAATTCTGCAGGAGAAACAAAAGCTAGAAGAAACAAGAAGAAAGGAGAAAAAGAGAGAAAAGGAAACCCTAAGCAAAACTTAGCTCAAATCCATTCTAGAAAGTGTTCTAAGGTAAGATTTTCATTCTTTTTCTTGTAGTAAACCCTCCTAGCATCTAAGATTGAGAAAAAGTTTGGGTCAATTTGAATTAATAAGGAAGAAATGAGGGAAAGAATGAGAAAGGTTGAGTTAGGTTAAAGAACTAGGTAGGTGGCTTAGAATTTCAGCACTTTGATTTAGTTTTTGATGTTCTTGATGCATTTGAGCCTCTATCTTCACATGTTCCTTTGATTTTCAAGAGTTTCGTAACTTAAATTCATATTTTGGAGGAAAGAAAAGAAAGGTTTTACATAAGGATTAAATTCATGAAGTTCTTGACAAATTTTGTAATTTGAACCTTTAATCTTGAAACCAAACTAAGTTTTGATGTTTATGATTTGGAAAATGATCATATTTTCATGGTTGTCATTAAATTTGCATGATTTAGATTGAGTTTGCATGAACCCTAGCTTAGAACTTGACAGGAGTAAGCCTAGAACAACGGGAAAATTTTGTGCAGGCTGTTTTGCCCAGTCCCGCGCATGCGGCTGAGAGCCCCGCATGTGTGGCCAGGTCCCCAGAAAACATTTGCAGTTCTGAAATAAAGGCATGTGCTGCCCGCATGTGCCCTTCCTCCCCCGCATGTGTGGCCTAAGCCCTGCACGTGCTCAAACCCCCTGTTTTGAGCACTTGTTGGTTTTGTAAGCCTCTTTCACATAGGACACTCCTTGTATACATTTAACACTTGTTTGAGACTTGAATTAGACCTAGAATAACACTAAACACTTGAGAGAAGTTTAGGAAAACATTTAGCCAAGTTAGGCATACGATTTGTTATATTGGTGCATGTAAGCTAGGTGCTTCAATGTTTTGTTCTTGTTTTGTGTAGGTTAAGCATTGAAGGAGAATATACCTTCGTTCACGGAGCCATTTGTGAATAGTAGTGTAGTAAAGTTATGTTTGTTAAAACTATGATTCAAAATGCAAACCTATACTATGTTTGTGAAAGTTAAGCTACTGTTTTGTTATGAATAAACATCTTATATTCTTGTATCATGTATTAAGATGACATCTTGGATCTTGTTTTGTTGTTGGGAAATCATGCCAATAACCTCTAGCTAACTGAGCTCCTCTTGCACCTGTTGTGGACTCTTGATGTTCTAGAAATGCTTGGAATGTTCATCGCTATGTATATGCTTGCAAGTTAAGCTTTGTTCTATCTTGATGAAATTATATTATGTTTGAAACATAATCTTGTGCTTGGTTTTATTAAAAATCATTAGTGTTCATTCATTTACCACTTTATCATATTACTATTCACTGGGCAATGGCTCACCCCTCTCACATATTTGTATGCAGGTGATGATGAAGAGCACGGTCAGGATGAGAAGTCGAACTTGAAGCATTTTCCTTTTGTTTTGTACTCTTCGGAGCCGCAACTTAGAGACGATAGCCTTGTATATATGTTTTGGTTTTTGTTAAGGTTATGTTGTGAATGCTGTACATTTCCTTTTGTTGTTTGGACTTGAAAATGTCAAGATAATAATATGAGAAGCATGCTTGTTTTGTTTACATACGACTTATGCACATGCTCTGAGTGGACTCTTGGTAATTAATGGACAAATGATTCCGCATAAGCTCCAATGTTATTAGTCTAGTCTTGCTAGGCTTTCGGTAGTCAAGCCGGACACAATGCTATCCTATTTGGGGCAGAATGGGGTCGCGACACTTGGCCACTGAAGGTGCCAGGTGTCTTAGCGGGTAACCTTTGGACCAAAATAAAAAGACCAATAATAAATTCTTTTGACTTTGAGTAAGGTAAAGGAATTATGAAAAATTCACCAATCCTTTTGGGAGACGAATGTGAAGGAAAAATCCCTAACCCAGTGTGATTTGTTGGATTTAACTACTAGCAAGGGTGAGAATATGATTTTAAAGACAATATTACAAAGAAAAATCTATAAAGCAATACTGTTAGTTCAACTGCAAATGCATGAATCCAATTGTGTGTCAAATTCTCCATAAGCACTATTTCTCCTTTGACAAAACCAATGGGGTGATGGACTATTTAGAGCAAGCCAACACCAATGTCGAATAAAGTGTGGTCCACCACATACAGCATTCACCCATCATCAGATTGTGTGATTAAAGGTCCCAAGATAGCCTAGATCACTAATGCATCCACCACATCACTCACACACACATACACACACACACACACACACAGAGAAAAGTAAAATCAAGGAAAAGAACAGAAGTTCTAAGGAAACCCTGATAAATACACAGAAATATTCTCATAATGATAGTCAGGGTATAGTCATTGTCAATAAGATCTATATTCTATAAACAGGTAGCTACAGAGATTCTTGCATGCACTCTCCATATATGTAAAGATGTTTTTATGTTTCACTTTATATATGAATAACAAATGAGATAATGTCTGAGGACTCATAATTGTAATTTTCCATAGAAAATAAAGTCATAAGAACAAACGATAGCAAAGGCAGAGAGGATTACCAAGTTCTTGCTAAGGATAGCCTGATCAGCATTTGATATCAAGGCCTACAAGTGAAAAATCAAGTCTTCTTTTTATTTTATCAAATAAAATAAAAAGGCCTTTACATATTACCAACCAAAAACAAAAACAAATAGTATTATAATTCAATAATAGGCCTCAGCAATCCAAAAGTATCTTATTGCACCATTTTCTTTTCTGTTCTTCACAGTACTCTCGCTTTTAAGGACCAAACAGAGCTAGTTTTGTATCCATGTTTTGCTTATATGACACAGACAACTTTGACCTGGAGTACAAGCACCTCATGCAGCATTGAGAAATTGGGGTTGGAGTAGCACTTGAAAAAGACCTGACTGGACACAGATCCACATCATGTAGATCCAAATCCAAACAAATGTAGGATCAGCACTATAATCCAACCCTCTTATAAAGACAGTTGATCTCATCAAAAATTCAAAGGTTCCTTAAGAACCACTGGTGGTATTCAGATCCAGCTCATCCAACCTATATATTCAAGCTGTAACAGTCCAATCTAAAAGACAAACTTGAATCCCATTGCAAGGACTCAACTGGATCGATCTGATTAATTGAGCTCCATTTCAAATGGGTCTTATGGAAAAGAATGGAACGTGTGTGACCTTCAATCTAAACAATTACCGACCTGTCTAATACGTTCCTCCTCAACTCGATCAATTTGTTGCAACAAATTCTCCAATGAACCTATACATATAGAAGTGGAGTACAGAGTTAGAAAATTTAGTATTACATTCTCAAGTGGTCGAAAAATATAAAAGACAAAAGAAAAATAAATGAGACTACTAGTTGATAAATATGAAATAAAACTATAAACAACTGATTGACTATTATGCTCAATAAGTCAATTAAACTCCTCAAGTGTATCACAAAATTTATAGTCAGTCTAATTGACTCACATTACACAGATCAATACCAATCCAGGTTCATACTCATATAGCACAGGCTATTAACTAGAGCAAGTTATTGACAATATAATATAACTCATCACCTTGTCAATCATTTCAACCTCACGACTTAATTATGAAATTGCAATATAATTAACAAAAGTTTGTTGTTTCTTTCTAGAGAAAGAAAAACAGTGGAACACTCAGGCAGTTTCAATGCAAGCACACTTAACCAAAAGGAGATTCTTATCATGATAACCCTTCAGATTTCCAATCAGTTTTATAACACTCCCATATTTGTATTCAGTATCAATACTCAACTCAAAACAAAAGAAGCATCCGATAGAAAGACATTGTTGTTCCCCAAATACAAAGGTTGACCCGGAGACAGATTTACTAAACCATCAAGGCATTCTAGGTCACTTGTTAATCACTTCGTTTGAAGGTTACTGCAAGCAACAGTTGTAAATCTATAGCAAATAGTGTACTGCCTGCAAAAGGCAATAAGATACAAAATTGAACTCCAAGAAAGCATAGGAAACCCATAATTTTCATCTCTTGATGCAGCAACAATTTTTATAAAAGAAAAATTCCCAACGTTGGTCCCTGTTAATCAAGGGTATTGACAGGGGCATGACTGTAGACAAACCTAACAATAGTTTGGCAATTAACAAGAGCTTATGGACATGGCTGACATGATAGCAAAGAATATTGTCTAATGGTGAATGTTAAATAAGGGAAACTTAATTTCACAGAGAGATGGGGGACCGCACAATTTCTCTTTCTCATTTGTGTTGCAACAGTATAAAGTCTAGTATAGAGCAACAACATCAAATGGAAAAACTAAATATTTTAAAATGTGAAAAAGATTAGTGATGGCCAGCATGGAATAAAGAAAAATGGCAAATTTGGAATTTCATATGGAGCCTAAAATGCACAACCACAGACACGTGACACGACAGGGACACACCAACAACTTTAAAGACATGACACATGGGAGACACATGCAATGTCATATATATGAATATTTAAGTTAAGGATAATAGTTTTTGAAGTCCGACGGAGAAGAATATGTATAAATTTATATTGTTTTTGTTTTATCATTGAATTCTAAGTTATTTTATTCAAACTTGTAATATGTTTTATGTGTATCCAAGTGTTGGGAAGTGTCCAACAAATGTCGTGTCGTGTGAACATTACACGTTACCTCCTTAAAGGTGCCCGTGCTTCTTAGCATGGAGCAAGTTGACCTTTTCACTATCCAACTGCGAAATAGTCCCTTAAACATTCTATAGTTAGATATCCATAGACTCATTAGCTACCAATATTGCATCCAAAATTGGCCTTCCTACAAAAGCATTTTGAGATTTTGATATGTTCAACCCTATCACCTTCCTCGACCTCAAAGCTAGAACTTAGCAATGATTTTATACACTACCAATCAAGCTAATTGGCATGTTATCACTAGTATCAACTTCACCACTTCTCTCTGGAACTAGAACAATAAAGGAAACATTCAAACTCCTCAAACTCTTCAATCTCAAAGAAGAAATGCATCACTTTTACCACTTCACACTAAGTCATGCTCTCGTACCATTAGAAGAAAGTGTGAACCCATCTGGCCATAGAGCTTTATCCGCATTGAGGCTTTTTAAACCACACAACAGGAAAGGTTGCTCCATTGCAACCTAGTCATCCTGTAAGAAAATATATGTATTATTGATTGATTGATGTTGATGTGTTACAAGATTGATAAATTACAATTCCTATACAATCTATATATAGAAGAAAATGTGGTAGTAGGTGTAGTGGAGGTGATAGCATACAAGCAACCTCTTTGCACACTAGGGAGGTTGCATACATCTGACCCTCCCTAAACCCCGCAATGGTAGGAGACTTATGCACTAGGACTGCACTTTAGGCTACTGAAAGCCTCCATGACCTCCTCTAAGAAAATTCTTTCCAACTAGGCCTATAAATGAACCGAGTAGTATGTAATTAAAGTTTAGCTTGAAGACTTACCGAGCTTCAAAGTTTGTTCAACCTAAGAAGCCTGGACACATAAAAGGTGGGACATCCATGTCAGACACATGTCCGATAGCGACACTTCCCAATATATGCCAATCACTAGTTTACAGAAGTATTGTTATTTTTTTACCCAAATACAGTTTGGACACAATCGTCCATCACTTAGATAAACATGAAAATAATTATACATTTGAACAAAATAACATAGGATACAATGATAAATGTATATATATATATTTATAGAACATAGTGTTATCTTGTATTTTATTAGCTTTGAATGATATATTCATATATATATAATAAATATATAAAACTATATATTTTGTGTGTGCTGTCCTCCTCTCGTGTCATGTGTTATATGTTTTGCAATTTGTTCGGTCAGTGTGTCCATGTCCATACTTCTTAGCGTTAAGCTTGGCTTGTTTACTTTTCCAGCCGATCTCAAACAAAGTTTAATCAAGTCAAGCTTGACTAACTTGGTTCGTTTTACAACTCTATTTCCAGCCAAATCCTCTCCTCCGAAAGAACACTTAACTACAAACAATCTATAAATGGCCTTCTAATCCCCAACTTTGAATATAGATTCTTATAGAATTCCACAATGCCCTTGGATATTGTTTCTTCCCCAGTCAACTCCAGACCAGCAACTTTAAACTTGCCAATATAATTTGATTTCTTTGCACATTAGCTATTCTGTGAAAAAATGGAATATCTATCTGCCAGCTTTAGCCAAAGTGATATATACTCTCTACCACGAACTCACTTCTTCAAAAGTTATAAACCTCCTCTACACTTTCTCTTCTTAGGAGATACCCTCCTCATTCAACTCTTTAATATTTTAAAGAGCCTAGTTATCTTAGTTTTCACCCTTGTTGAACACCTTATTTAATTTCTTCAATACTCCTTTAGAAGCTTTAACTTCCTTGCAAGGCAGTAACTTGGAGTGTTATGCACCGTAGACCCCTACCAGTAAGCATTCACTGTAGTCATAAACCCTCTTCTCTCAGCCACATAAACTCAAAGTGAAATGGACTTGGTCCTTTACTAAAACCATCACTATCCAGCAAAACAGACACATGATCCTAAACTGGCTGGCTCACATCTGGAAAAGTTGTCTTCCCAATCCTACAGTCCACTGAGATAAGAAACCAATCAATTCTTGACATTGATGGATTTGCCCCCTTATTTCATTTAAGAAAATAAGAATAAAAAATTACTATTTTCAACTACTTTACCCAATTAATGGAACATGTTTTAATTTTTCTCAATGTTAATGCGACAAAAATAATTAGTCCTTCTTGTAATAGAGAGATAGCTAGAGCTTCTATCGCACAGTAATTAAGGCACATTGTCTGAAAGGGTGATGATGAGGAATTGTGAGCTTCATATTTCTTTGTAGACAAAATGGAAAGAACCATCAAATTGATTTTACAACATGCACACAAGTTTGCAAGAGAATAGCAGAAATGACATCTCAACATACCATATTTCATGATCAACTGCACAGCATGCACATTTCCGATTCCTTGAACTCCTACATTTTAAAAACCAATTCATCAACTTTATGCAGAGACGTCTTCTTGTTGATTAGCAATGAAGTAAATATATCAAGTCTAAAAATAAACTTTCAATGGCATTTTGAAGAAGAACACAGAAATAATTAGATACCAACAAAAAAATAATAATACAATCTCTTCCAAGATTTAAAATCCAAAGGAAATTGATGCTTGTCATTCAAAAAAATATATTCATGCTATGTTGGTTGGGGGATTTGAGGAGGAATTTGGAAAGGGAAATTGAAAATGTAAGTAAAATATGAATAAAATATACCTATATTTCACCTAGTTTCACACACATTTTCTCTTTACTTACATTTCACCTAATTTCCCTTTCCCTTTCCAAATCCCTCCCCAAATCTCCCAACCAAACACAACATCAAAAAACATAAATGAAAATAAAAAAGACTAACTAAAATGTATCTACCTCCCCAAAGCCCACTAATCGTTAATGCATCAATTCCACAAATAAATGCAACATGGTAGCAATTTTTGGACAACTTTGGATAGCAAATAGATTTGGAAAACCTTTACTTTCATAGAAACAATACAAATCAAACAAGCAAATAGAGGAACATGAGACTAAAAGATTGAAGCACTTGGAATAGGCGCTTCAGCTGAATTGGGACTGAAGGAATCTAGATCTACAGTTGTGAAAACTTAGTTAGATACGGAGTATTGTATTATTGAATTAATTAACAAAGGATTACAAGAGTAATATATATAAGCAAACTAAGCTAATGGGAGCTTCTATTTACACACACCATTTCCATTCTTTGCACATCCTTCTCACTACACACACCTAAAAAATTTATCCCAATTTATTTTACTCACTGCACACACCTTTTATTCCACATCTACCCTCATACACACACACACACCCAGACCCCAAACCCAGCTCTCTGAACGGTGCAAACACGCACACCCACTGAAGCTGCATCTCCCAGCTCTCCAAACGGTGCAAATACACACCCATTGAAGTTGTATCTCTCACACACGTCTCTCACACAAGTCCATCTCTCACACCTTTCATCCCTAAAAGCTTTTTAAAGACATCATTGAAGAATATCATTGAACCATTGAAGGAATTCTTCAACTTAGGTTAGTTTACTTATTTTAATCCTCATTCCTATTTCATTTGTAATGTAGGGTTTGTTTTTACCATTTTCGAAATGAATGAACGCATAGCCCACCGAAATGAGCAATTTGTTCGTCATGCGGAACTTGTTTTCCGAAAATAAGCAAGTTGTTTGGATGTAGAATTCCGAAAACTATCATTTATTTCACTAGTAGAAGTCCGAAATTTTTTCTTTATTTCAACATTCAACTTCCGAATATATTTAATTCGGACAACATTCAACATCTGAAATGAATGTGTTTTTTCGAATTTCAACTTCCGAACAGAATGGACATTTGCGGTTTTCAACTTCAGAACGGTTTTGTTTTGTTTTGTTCAACCCCTTCCCCCCCCCCTCTTTTGTATATTCTTTTTACAATTGTATACTCATTAAGTATATTAATTTTTGCAGATAATATGGATCCTGAATGTCAATAATGTGTCCCACCTACTGCTTCAAATAGACGACGTCGTGAATTGGATGTTGACCATGAGCGGGGACAAAGGCGTGGGCAAGGACAAGGTCGGGGTTGTGATCCAATTCCGGTGGAATATGATATCCCCAGTGCCAGTCGAAGCCCGATTCTCCCACTGTCCAAGAAGAGGTCCATACTCATGCTTTTCCAGGTGGACTAACTGATCCATCAATACTGCGGAGTTTCAATAGTCATGTCGCTGCAGCTGTTTGACAGGGGGAGGTAAACATTCCTGAGTAGAAGTGAAATTCATTAATATATGCCCTTTTTTTGTGTTATATGACAGTTTCTAATGAGATATTCATTTCTTTTATAGGAACGAGGGCCCCTAAAATGTCATAATCACTCGTCGAAGATCCTTGCATGGCCATGGTGGTCAGTAGACAACAACACCAGATTCAAAGCCATTAATGAGTAGTCTAGGTTGTCACAGTTAGCTCGTTGCACTTATCGGTTTGTCAACAAGCTTCTAATCTCCAATTTTGTTAAGAGATGGCAACCTGAGACGAACACATTTCATTTGATAGTTGGTGAGATGACCTTGACCTTGGATGATGTTGGCACTATTCTTAGCCTTCCCATTGTAGCAGACCAATCAGCGTACCAGATGTGACGGATCTTCATGGAGCTACACTATTGGTTTCTGGCTTGGGGATTACTGATCGTGTAGCACATGACGAGGTTTCTACTACTGGTGGGAATTTAGTCAGGCTTGAGTGTTTGCGAAGTCAATTTGCTGGTGTCACAGATTCAGACCCAGAGGAGGCCATACAGTGCGCTACTAGAGCTTATTTGTTGTTTCTGTTGGGATGTACGCTCTTTAGTGACAAGAGTGACAGCAAGGTTCCTGTTGTTTACCTTAGCTTATTGATGGATTTGTGATCCATTCATACTTACGCCTGGGGTGCTGCTGCATTAACATTTTTATACAGGCAGTTGAGGTATGCTAGGCAGTCCGGTGTTAAGCAAATGGGTGGTTATATGACTCTTTTGGAGGCATGGATTTATGAGCACTTCCGAGCATTCCGACCTCACCAAAACATGGGCTACAATGAAAACATGTCACACGTGTACCAGTGGACATCTAGGAGAGAGGCGAGTTCCTCCATTGATCATTTCAAATCTTTTCGAGCAGAGCTTGACAGTTTGGTAGCGACTGATATAAGTTTACTCGTCCTGAGATAATTTTAACACTTTACGTTTACAGGTTATTTGGGATCCATACCACAGTTGCAGAGACCAGCATCCATGTAACCTGATTACGTTCTACCATAGATGCTTGAAGTGCTTAGACGTGGTCGAACCCTATCATCCAGATAGAGTTCTGAGGCAGTTTGGCAGGGTTCAAACCATCCCAGAGCCACCGCTAGCTCCCACTCGTGTTAGTCGAGGCAACATATCTGCACGATATACAGTCATGTATAGGATCTGGGAGGCTTGGGATAACCACGTGTTATCTGAGCAGCGGAGGAGCACACTAGTTCGTCAGCCTTGGGAATGCGTACCGAGTTACATGAATTGGTATAAGAATATCACGCACCTATATGTTAAGTACACTGATGAACCACGTGTCCATGAACATTAGGATTTCAGCCAACATGTCGATGTAATATACTATCCTCTTTTATGCATTTGTAACTTACTTTTGCTTTTTGGATATGTTTCCTAAAATATGATATTCTTTTCAAATGCAGCGTATTGCACATGCACTGAGAATTGCACATCTTATCATTCAGGCCGATTATGAGGATGGGATTCGACATTCTCATCGACTTTACCAGGCTATCGAGGCTATGGCGCATGTCCTTAAAGGTCAGCACATTGATGAAGCTTGACCTAGTTCTGCTAGACCTAGTTGTACTGGAGGTCGCTTTTCATCTCCGACATTGACATACAGTCGTAGGCCTCGTCGTAGGCATACAGATGATTCGTGACATGTTATTTGTCAGTTGATGAATTTTTTGTGGTGATTTTGTAAGCTGACATTGCTTACACATCTTTTAATGACATTATAAAAGATATTTTGTTATTAGAATGGAATGGTAACAATGGTTGATGACATTGTAAATGATATTTTCTTATTAGAATGTAGTGGTAACAATGGTTGATAACATTCAATCCATGCCACAGATCACATCAACATCAAAAAACACATCTATTTTTCTTTCATAGTTCTAACATTGTCAAATGCATACATGTGTCATTCGACATCAGCAACATCAAATGTCTCTCAAATAACTACAGTATCATCAATGATGCCCTTGAAATGTTGAATGCGGCGCACATATGCATCATCCCAGTCGACAGCGCAAGGGTGACGGTATTTTCGCCAATTAGTGGCTATAGGAGGAACTGGATAGCCTAGTTGCAAAAAAACCTGCACCAAATGTCAATTAAATTAGTAGTAATACCTTATAACTTCCTGTACATGCACAAAATGATAAGTTTCTCTTATACTTGGACGAAATGATTTCCGTTGACAAACCTAATGGCAATCTCACGTTTATCAAGTTGAGGTACCGACACTGTTCTAAAAGGTAAAGAGGTGAGACATTGCTGTAATGACAAGTGGTATAACACAAGATTGTAGCACGATGCAACAAGATGCCCCATGTCTGGCATAGTCATCCAATGTGGGTAGCCAGGACTGTCTTTAAAGTATGACAATATGCATGTCAATTCTTCAAACCTTTCGTAGGACCCATTGAGTGTAATGTATTCGTCTTTGTGTATGTGCAGCTCACCCAAAAGATCACGCCTAACCTGAGCCCAATCATCTTCTGTATGACCAATTGAAGCAGCTATAGCAAAGATCACCTTTTAGGTGTGATCTTTTGGGTGAGCTGCACACACACAGAGGAATACATTACACTTTATAGGTCCTACGAAAGGTTTGAAGAATTGACAAGCATATTGTCAAACTTTGAAGACAGTCCTGGCTACTCACATTGGATGACTATGCCAGACATGGAGCATCTTGTTGCATCGTGCTACAATCTTGTGTTATACCACTTGTCATTACAGCAATGTCTCACCTTTTTACCTCTTAGAATAGTGCCAGTACCTTAACTTGATAGACGTGAGATTGCCATTGGGTTTGTCAACGGAAATCATTTCGTCCAGGTATAAGAGAAACTTATCAATTTATGCATGTAAAGGAAGTTATGACGTAAGACCATTAACTCAAGTGACATTTGGTGCAGGTTTTTTTGCAACCAGGCCAAGTTATGATGTATTACATCGGTTTTTTCGCAACCAGGCCAAGTTATGACGTATTACATCGGTTTTTTTGCAACCAGGCCAAGTTATGACGTATGACCATTAACTCAGGTGACAAGTTATGACGTTTGACCAAGTTATGACGTATTACATCGGCATGTTGGTT